TTCAGCAGGGTGGGTGACATTTGGGGGTTGTTAGCAGGCAGAATTTCAGGTTCCACTAAAGAGTCAAAAGAATTCTGATTTATAAGATAATAAGTTCTCCAGATGATTCATATTCACATTAGTGTTTGAGAAGAACTATATCTACAATAACTCAAGAAAAAATGTTTTGTACGAAGTAGATAATTTTCTTTCTTTGCTTTTGATATACAATAGAAATTCTTTGTGAGTGCTGTTATTCGGTATACTTGAATATACAAATAAAATCAACTCAGTAAGCTTTGCTCTCTGACTTCCTTGTATATAAAGCATTCTATTTCTGAAAGAAGAGGAACTTTCTCATTGAGAGTTTTGCTTTCGTCTCTGTTGGGTAGTTGGTTGCCACTATCCAGGCAGATAACAGAAGAACGCTGGGTTAATACGATCTTCTCTCTTTTATTATTCTTTCCTTCTTGGCATCCCATCCCCACTGCAGAGTTCATGCGTTCATTCATTTGACAAGTCTTTGTGGATCACCTCGTGCGTCTCCATCTCTGTGCCAAGTGTTAGGGATTCAGTAGATGGCAGATGCAGCCTCCATCCATATTTGACATTTTAACTACATACAGATGAGGTAAGTGATATATCTCTAATTACTTGTTTTTCAAGTGTAGAGTACATTTGACACAAGTTTAAAACATTACATAGATGAAGTAAGTGACAGATGTGAGTTTTTAGAAATATTATCTTTGACGCGTGTTTTACAAACAATTTCCTTCATGGTCTGCCTCTTATAAAAGTTTCTTTTTTTTAAAGGTTTATTTATTTAATTTTTTGCTGTAGATGGAAAGAGAGATACTGAAAGAGAGAAAGTGAGAAATCACCCGACAAAGCAGAAGGCCACACCGCAATCCCTCTTCCTCTCAGGATGTTGGGCAGGTATGCACATGTGCCCGGCATGATTTTCAAGCTGCTGAGTCCAGGATTTGAACAGTAATCAGCCATGTGGGAGGCCAGTGCCTTATCCACTATACCACCGGCTTGTCCAAGTTCCTTTCCTTTTTGTGATTTTTGGAATGGACAGTGAATAAATGAGCTGGGTTACAACAATGGAAAGGGGACTAAAATGAAGAAATTCTGTTTGAGCCCTAGGATCATCCTTTTTGCCTTGGGTGAAAGTCTTTCCCTTCCCCATCAAATCAGTCAAAAAGTCAGGATGACTTGCTACATACAAAACTGAAAGAAAACGTCATTTTCTGCATCTGACACACTTTCTGGCAGTTTCGCACACTGGACAGGGCATGGGACTGAGTGGAGAGTGCATGGAATTGGAGTCCTGCCTCTTCCATAACACTTATCTAACTTTCAATACGTCTAGCCACATTTCTGAGTTTCCCAAGATGAAGTGAGAAAAATGGAATGAAATTCCTAACTTTTATGGATTTTACTATCTGCTTTATATAAAGCTATCATTAGTCAGGAAAGAAAGAATCATTGTTTTCCCTAGCCTGGCATCGTTTCAGAAATAGTCATTAGTATGAAATGAGGAAGCTGGACATAGAATTCTAATGAATAGAGAAGTTTGCCATAAAGCGTACTCACTGAATCTGTTTACAATGACCTCCTAAAGACTCATTTACTTTGGTCTAGTCCTTCCTGTCTAGCACTTCCTGTTTATTGACATTTATTAACTAGAAATGTTTTATTATAATATACATAATTAAGTAAAACATGATTATGACAGAGATCATAAATGGAGAAAGGCATACATAAGAGGCATTAAACACAGTTTTTTGGTTGGTTGGTTAATTTTCATTTCATGTCTTCTCAGTCTTATGTGAAGATTTGGTAGATTGGTCTTTTAGGAAGATGTTTTGAGAATTTGTCTCCAGTATTCACCCAATTTGTTTTTTCCATCACAAAAAATATTATCATATATGACCTGACAGTTTCTGTTTTCTCAGTCTCCTCACTGTGCATGAACTAGTCAGAAATTCTCAACTATATTTTTAGGTGAACAGTTTTTTCTTAATTATAATTTCTTTCCTTTTTGTTTTTGAGAGAGAGATTTTTTACTATAGGGTGTGTGCTCCCTGGAAAGGCAGAAAGAAACAGAGAGACAGAAAGCAAGAAATCACTCCCCAAGAGGATGGCCACAACCACAGTCCCTTCTCTTCCATTCTCCTTGTGGGACTTTGGGCATACACACACGCGTACCCAGTGTGTGTTTAAGCCACTAGGTCTGAGACTTGAACTGCGGTTGACTATGTGGGAGTCCAGTGATGTAACCATTTCGCCATCTGCTGGTCCCATAATTTCTAATTTATATATAATAGTTCTACATCTTTGTGGAGTAGAGTGTGGTTCTTCAAAATATATATATAATGTATAATGATCAAATCAGGGCAATAATTGTATCTACTATCTCCAATATTTATCATTACTTCATGTTGATTATTTTTGACAAATGTTTACCAATCCATTCAGCACAAGGAGACTAAATGTAATATTTCCATCATTCATTTATTTATTTATCCAATACAAATGAAAACCATTGTGCAAATTATGGGAATTCAGCAACTCAAAATGGGGAGACTGTCCCAAAGAGAAGTGTGAGTCTATAAGATATGCTAAAATACTTGGCTTCTGTGGTATTAAAAAAATAGAATTTCTGCATTATGATTTCTGTCCAAGTTTGTGCTTGTTGCATCTCTAAAAATAGTGACTTTGATAGCTATTTGGATTAATTTAAAACATTCCTTTCTAGAATATTTGTTTTTTCCATTGAACATTTCCATCAGGTAAAATAATCTTTTCTCTTCTTTTTCAATACAGACACCATGATTAATTTTTAAATCTTCATCTTTGATCCATTATTCTTGCTCATAACTCCCTCGAGTGGATGTGGCACAATTTTAATGCTGTACAAGAACCTCAGTCAACAATGTTACTATTAAACTGTTAGGAACAAAATCTCTTCATGAATTTGATATCTTTTTCTGAACTGTTGCAGGCCACAGTTTTCTTTTCTTTTTTTTTTTTTTTTGAGAGGTTTTTGCTCTAGGGTGCGTGCGCTTGCCAGACAGACAGAGAGAGACATAGAGACAGAAAATGAGAAATCACCCCCCAGAGGGGATGGTCACACCGCAATCCCTTCTCCTCCATTCTCCTCTCGGGATCTTGGGCACGCACGCACACGCGCCTGGCGTGAGTTTTAAGCCACCGGGTCCGGGATGCGAACCACGGTCGACTACGTGAGAGTCCAGCAACATAGCCATTATGCTAACTGCTGGTTTCCAGGCTACGGTTTTCTAAGAGATATCAAACCATACTTGAAGCTGCCCTACTCGCTACATCAATAAGATTGATTTGTTTATTTTGGTTTCCTGTTATGTTTTGTTGTTGTTAAACCTTTCACAGTATTTATTTTTCTTTGTAGGCTTTTGCAATTTTCCTGCCATGTCACACTGTTAATAACATTAAACTAAACTTCTAATTGCTCAAATAGTAGCATTAATCAGTACGATGATTAAAACAGTTAGCTGTCCAGTTTGTCTAAGGTATTGTTATTAAAGGTTCCTACATAGTCATAGAATGATAAGAGTAACTGTGATTTAGCACATGCATGGTGCTTCTATTTCTTTTTTAGAATTATATTTTCTTAAAGGAAATCAAATTTCAACCTATTTTCTCAAAGCAACAATTCCTTCTATGTGAAATAAAATCATTTTTGAATGGGAAGCAGGAAAGAAAGGTAGATGAATTCCTTTTTAATACAGGAATTTGATATTCTTTTATGACTCTTAGTGTATAGTTCACGATTCATCTCACTGCATTCTTAATCATGCCTACAAGAAAAACCAATTGAGCACATTTCAAATAAAGACACAAGGTAAGTTCTATGACTTTTATTATTCAAATCAAAACCAGGGCAAGCCTTCATATTGAATCATTCTTCATGATACTAAGCTTTGCTTTTCCTGTTCGGTCACCTTCATGGGTAACCCCATATGCTCTGAAGGTTTATACCTATTCATCGTATTCATCGAACTGAGACTCCACAACCTCCACTTTAAGGCTGAAATATGCCCACACTGCCTCTCCAGGTTCAGTGTTCTGCACCAGGCATTATCATGGCTTGAAATAGAAGCCCTGTGCCAAGAAATTCTCCCCTAGCTGAGGTTGCTGCTGCTGTGTGCAGCGCCCCTGGCTGTGAACAGGACACACCATAATCGGTCCTGTTTTTACCTGGAAGACCTTTAGACAAAGGCTCTCCAATCCTAAAGAACCCTGGACAGGTGTTATCACTGCTACCCTGCAAACACTTTGTTTTCATTCATTTTCAGGTTTAACCCAGATGGCAAGACCTTTTAAAAGGAAAAATGGGGAGCCACAAAACCAGAAAGGGATTTTCATTGTATGATGCCAGTCAGGTTTCTCAAGATAGCAGAACGGAAAGAAAAAGAAATACCGCACCCAGACATGGCTTTTGTTTGGCCAAGAAGTGTATTTAAATTCTTCTTCCCAGACATCTTACCATTACATTGTGCTTGAAATATTTTAATAGACATGTTTATTTCTTGAGAGCTATGCTGTTGCTTAAGAAGTCTGTCTCTCACCTTATTATAACACTGAGGAAAGATGAACTGTTTATACCGCAGATTCATAACCAGGACAACACACACATGCACAGAAAAGACAACTAGTTGACCTGATAATAAATTCCTCACGTTTTAGGCCACAAGTTTAGGAAGTATATGTTAGTAAGCTCCAGATCAGGAAGAAATGAACAAATGAATACAGTCACAGAGACAACCAGGAACACATAATTTTCCCACATTACTCTGTATCCCCCTTCCTAATGACAACTGTATGCTTTCAAGTTAATATTACATCACCCGAAACTTCTCTGCCCTTGGCATTGTGAGTTTATGAGAATGCAAATGATACATAATTATAGGAGTACATGCTAAATAAAGAGTCCAGCATTGCCTGCCATGGAGGAAACATTTATTCACCACATCAGCATTTTTTGTTTGGATTCATTGAGATAAAATTTCTCTTCTCAGGTTCTGAAAAACTTGAAAGAAGTAGAAGGGAGAAAAGCAATCTAATGGGATGCTCTGTTGTGTTACCTATTCAGTCTTGAAAGCAATGCAATATTTGTTTTATTTTGTTTTGTTTTGTTTTTAAAGAATTATTTTGTTTAACTTTATTTATTTTAATTTGACCAGAGAGGGACAGAGTGAGAGAGAGAGAGAGAGAAGGAAAGTGAGGAGGGAGTCGGGACTCGAACCATGGTCAGTCATGAGGGAGTCCAGTGCCCTTAACCATCACGCCACCTGCTGGCTCCCAATATTTGTTTATAAGTGAAGACACTGGGAATGAAAAGTGATAATCTGGGGCCAGCAGGTGGTGTGGTGGATAAAGGCACTGGATTCCCACATGGCCAACCATGGTTCAGGGGCCGGGTGTCTTGCTTTCTCCCTTTCCCTTTCTCTCTCTCTCTCTCTCTCTCTCTCTCTCTGTCGTCAAATAAAGAAAAAAAAAATAACAATAACAAATGGAAATAAATACATAAATAATTTTTTTTTTTTTGGAGAGGTTTTCACTACAGGGCGCATGCGCTCACCAGACAGACAGACAGAGACAGAGAGACAGAAAGCGAGAAATCACCCCCCAGGGGGGATGGTCACACCGCAATCCCTTCTCCTCCATTCTCCTCTCGGGATCTTGGGCACGCATGCACACGCGCCAGTCGTGAGTTTTAAGCCAACTACATGGGAGTTCAGCGACATAGCCATTACACTAACTGCTGGTCCCCTATAACTAAATAATTCTTTTTAAAAAGTGATAATCTATGATTACATACTTAATATGTTGCAGA